GCTCCATTACTGTTACTATGACGACTAATGCCACCTGAGTATGATGACCAAAGTCGCCGGACTTTCCTGTATGTCCAAAACTCATACAATGGTAAATGTGTCTCTGCAAGCTTTATTTTTTAAGTCTAAGTGGATGTTGCATATTTCTCATTCCTAACTTGACGTGCGGATCAAAGGGGTATGCTGACAGCCATAGTTTTGACCGTAGGCCCACTGACCAGGCTGCTGTATTTGCTGGGAGTGAGAATATGTAGATTTTTTTCAACTAAGTAGCTAGTTAGTGCAACCAAAGGTGGTGGTGTAAGCAATAAAATAATGCATGCCTTTATTAATTATGTTACTAACTGTATATGTTTCTTGTGGAATAATGTCATTGTGTTTTAGGGTACACTAAAGTTTCTGACCACTAGTTGCACCATAGGGAAATATTTTTATAAACACGTGCAAAAGCACTTTGGTGAGGAGATACGCACTTATGCCAATGGCTTCACACCATTCCACTGATGTACAGATGGTAGTAGCGATGCACCAGCAGAGACAGGGAAAATGAAAGCTGCTAGCATTCATGGATGTAAACAATCCAGGTTTTTAAAAAAATCAGCTTGCAAATGTTTTAGGGGGAAGAAAATGCATTAAACATGGATAATGCATTATGTGCAAGGATACACACAATATGTTTTGGTGAGTAATGTAAACAAGAACTTTACAAAAAAAAACTTTGCAGGGCACCTTTAAGCTATTTTTTCTGTAGTGTCTGTTTTTCTTTTTGCTTTATGAGAAAACCATACAACAGAATGAAAGAGAAGCTGTGTCAGTTTAACTCATGGTTTTGTCATTAGTGAGAGCTGACTAGTATGGTAGCACAAAGCAAAGTTGTCATGTTGATATCAGTTCAGTGTATTTTGTGCACTGAATTAGACATGAGGTTAAAATGTAGAGACCTGCAGGAAGAACAACTGCCAGGAAGTTAATGTCTATTTTCTATGGTCATGGTAAAAACTGAAACTATGCTATAACGTGGTTGGACTGCCAGTATGTAAAGTCTGCAGCCCCATCATTGCTGCAGCGATTAATACATTCATGGGTTCATATAGTTAAATATATAGTTAGGCTAGACTATAATACATATCCAAATGCCCTATTAGAACTATACTAGACCTAGACTTAATTACAAACAATGTATAAGCAATCAGTGTGAAATACTGACTAGGTGAAAGTGAAGGTGATGGGGAAAATGAATTTATTCTAATGGATTAAATATCAAGTATGTGCAATCTACATACAATGTATTTATCATCATTTAAACACTGTCCTGTAACTATCTTTTAATCTCAAAATAAAAGAAAATAAACATTTCTTAAATCACATTTGTTTTTTTCTCTTTCGAAAATATCTATGGCTTTTTTTAATCTATCATTTGAACAGATTACACAACAGTATGGATGATTCATGTCTGGGCGGGGCTGGCTGAGTAGAAACCTGGTAAAAACAGCAGCTGGCGCCTTTTTTTGTTTTCTGGAAACAAAACTGAAAGCAGAAAAAGTTAACCGACCAAACATAACAGTTGCATAGAGGAAATGCTTTTAGAGGCAGGGAAGCAAAAGAACACAGAAGAACACCATAAGGTAGGCAACACATGAATACATTTAATCTCTTTTGTTCTTTTAAATAATTATCTTTGAGGATGTGCAGGGGATGTTACTGGCATTAGTCAGTAACACAATAGTCTGTAAAAAATAACAGCCTGGTTAAAAATAATGGAAATTTGCATTGAAGGCAAAATCTTTCGGTCCAGTCTTTGTCTGGATTGTCTCGGCCAGATTAAGAATCCCATGGAGATATATTTTTCTTTTCATTTCTAATTGGCAGCCTTTACTTTGCTCCATCAACTCACTGAACTTGCATTATAAAAAAATAGAAGAAAGTGCTGCATGAGGTTATTTGTATAACTTTGCAATACAAATATCTATAAATCATAAATGCTGACAGACATTTAGAATTTAATGGTTTTTATTCAGGAGGCAAATACGTCAGTTGAAATACTGTTTCCTTATGTTTCATAATTTAAATCATTTTATATAATTATTTATTATTTTATTTATTTATTTTGAGAACGAGGGATGAGTACCAAAACCCAGTATTAAAGGGGCCTTGGAGCTAAATTATCAAAGGCATATATCAATAAGCCTGAACGTTATGAGTATCGAGATCTCTCAAGAGACCTGAAGTGTGCACAGGGAGGGGCGAGCTCTCTTTGCCTGCCTCTCACACACAAAAGTCTGATTCTAATTCACTAGAGTCAGTGTAGATTGCTGTATTTGTATTGGAGTATTTTTACAATGTGGTATTGATATTTTTAAGTAAAGGATCTAATTACTTCTTCCACCACTGATCAACAGTAACATGTTGTAATACAAAGAAACACCAGACATGAGCCTCCAGGTTTGCCACTGTGGCTGGTCCAAAGTGACGAGTTACCACGGCTTGAGAACTCACCAGGGGAAGATGGGATGCACGCCAAGGGGTGTGAAAGTTGAAGAGAGCGAACAGCAGTACTTGTGGGGAGCTTCGGCATTTACAAAGGAATTTAGTCTGGATGCCTACATCTCTGTCAAGAATGGTGGGTGTTGCTTAAAAAATGTCTGATTACAAGTTGTACTCAGTCCACACATTGCCACAAACAAGAAGACATACTAATTAACATGGCCAGATCAGTGGAAATGGGAGAAACATTTTTGTATAGTTTTATTTTCTCCTAACTGTTTGGATATGATGAAAATCAACTCTTCAGTTATGTCTCAAATCCAACAGACTATTCAGAAACAAGCCTCCAGGTTTGCCACTGTGGCTGGTCCAAAGTGACGACTTACCATGGCCTGCGAACTCACCAGGGCATGATGAGATGCCAGCCAAAGGGAATTAAGATCCTAAAGGAAGAGCAGTATGACTGGAAGAATCAGTGGGAAGAAGTGGATCAAAGGAAACCTCAGCCGGTTAAGAGAACTACTGTCAAGAAGGAGGTATACATTTTAGCAATTACAAGAGGGACACTTAGGGCAAAGTTCAGTTAGAAAAGTAGTGTTTTTTACCATACTAGTGTCACAACCTCAGACACAATTCTGGTGGACTCAAATGCACGACTCAGGGACTGACAAAGATGTACAAGAGGGGTATTTATTGTCCAAGTGCAAAACAAAGGCTCACAAGGAGATCAAAAACTTAACACAAACCTAAATTAAAACATGATAAACTCTGGAACTCTTACTGGAACGCATGACAATACTTTTCACAAACTGACACTGAGAGACAAGGACTATTTATACCAGGTGTAAGTGAAAACAGGTGAAAACAATCAGGGGCGGGGCAGACAATTACAAAGGTGGGAAAATCACACAAAGGGAGGAAGTCAGGGTCTGAATTGTGAGGGAAAAGGTGAGTACAAAATAAAACAGGAAGGACTAAACATGAATCACTAAACATGACTAAAATTAACACACTTGACGAGACACAACAACTAGCAGTGTGGCTATTTCTGTTAGTTGGTCCACAACTCAAATTATCTCAACAACTATAGATAGACTGGTGATTTCTTGACTGTTCATCTTGTGCCATCATCAGGTTAAAAAGTACCTTGGTTATGACCAAAAACTAATGACATTCCCATCAGCCTTGCCCTGGCCTTGTGTTAATTGCTAGTTAGCAAATGTTAGCAAACAAAGATCCTCATTAACATCTGCATATTAGCAATGTAATTGTGAGCATGCTAGCATGCTAGTATTAGACTGTAGTCCAAATCCTGGCCTATTTCTTTACAGCTTCGCAGAGCAGCTATGGCTGTAGACTCAGAGTCTTGGTTTTAAATGCATCACACTGTTGTCATTGGGTCTTCATTAATTGGATAACCCCATTGTCTATAACTCCTTCATTATTTTATTAATTCAGTCAGCACTAAAATGAACAGTTTCCATAATTATTGTGACCTTGACATAAATAACAACTTACATTCTTTTCACCTTAACCTGACAGAATGCGCCATCGGCACTAAGCACCAATGTCCGTGCCAGCTTTGTAGAAAGAAAAGCCACAATCAAGGAGGAATACAAATCATGTATGTACAGGATTATGGTTCAGTCAATACAAGATTTTGCAAAACCATCAGTAAAATAGTTAAGGCTGAGACTGATCATTTCCTTTTCTTAAAGCTCAACGTGATCCACGACGGTCTTCTTATAGAGCCAGAAACTCAACTAGTATGCCGGTAAAGCAGATTCATGAAAAGCTCTTTGACTTCAAAATGACAAAGTATGAGAAGCTGCATGTAAATTAAATTATTATCTTTCAGCTGAATGTATCCGTCAGAGAGAATCCAACACCAACATACATGGAAGACTGGACATTTCAAACATTACCAAAGGTACTCAACTGTTTGCTGTAGACATTACATTACATTTGAAATTAAAAATTTTAACAACAATAAAATATAGAGCATTTTTATATCTTTATTAGATAACAGACAGTAGAAGGATTGCAGAAAATTCGAGCATGGACCGGCCTGTGAATTTTGCAACTACAGCAGCCACAGTGAAGGAGGAGCCCAAATCACGTAACCTGAGTTATAGTTCATTGAAGTATAATTTGAAAAATCAATTCGAAACATAAAATAGCTAAGGTTGAGACTGATCATCTCCTTTCATTACAGCTTTAGCAATTCAACGATGGTCTTCTCAAAGAACCACCAACTCAAAGTCAGGCCGTCAGCTCCATGATTTGTCTGTTGGTGTGCAGGTAAAGGAGATTAATTGGAATTAAATTCTGAAATGAAACCAATATAGTTTGCTTTTGGATACATTCTTTCTTATATTTACTTTTCTAAACATAAATGTTTTAAAAATTACAATGTCTGTGCTTTGCTAATGCTGCTCATTGGCCTGACTGTTTTTATTACTTATTGTATGTGCCAAGTTTTCTGTAATGTTGATCATTGTTGTTATTATGTGTGCAGCCCTTTGAGGCATGTTTTGTGATTTTGGGCTATAGTAAACCGGACTTGACTTGACTTACATGGAATTTACATCTGATTCTGTTCTGTCTTTCAGGTGAATAGATCGGTCAGAGAGCGTCCAAATATTCCTCCCCCGGCACCAGTAGTCCAACCTATAGAGAAAGACATGAAGGCTCAAACATTATCACAGGTAATCAACCTGTTTTAGGCATATTTTAGACATAACATTAGATAATTTTTAAGGAATTTAGGGATCTTATTAAATATTTGATTCTTTATTTTATTCTTAGATATATATATATATATAGAATTTGTGGACCTTTTAAATAGGTAATATCAACTTTCCATCTTTCCATCGTCAGAATGTGCCAGTGTCACCAAGCATCCACTCTGCAGCAGCAGTCACAATCAGGGAGGAGCCCAGATCCCGTATGTACAGGATTATAATTGAGTCAAAACTATATTTTGGATCACAATCTGATAAATAAAGCAGTTTATGCTGAGACTGATCATCTCCTTTCATTGCAGCTTTAGCAATTCAACGGCGATCTTCTCAAAGTAACACCAACTCAAAGTCAGGCCGTCAGGCACATGATTTGTCCACTGGTGTGCAGGTAAAGCAGATTTGTTGGAATCCTCTGACTATGAAATTAAACCAATATAACAATTTTCTTTCTTTTCTAAACATGTAGGCTTTTGTAACATTCAGTTATTTTCTGAATTGCTTTGTGTCTGGTTGTTTTGAAAAGTGCTATGTATATTTCTTTAACATCTTTCAGGTGAATAGAGCTAGCAGGGAGTGTCCAACAACTCCACCTTTGGCAACAGTTGTCCAGCCTCATGAGAATGAGGATCCAACATTGTCACAGGTATTACACTGTTATAATCCAACCATTTACTGTTTAACCCTATATTTAGATTTTTCAGTTAGTAGCGCTTTTTGCGATTGTTAATAACTTTATGTTGTCCTGACTTAAACCCCAAATATAGCATATAGGACTTAAAGCATAATTAAAAGCTGCTAATGAGCATATTTAGACATAGCTGTAACAGACACATCCTTTACTTTTTGCTTCACCTTCAGATTTTTTTTGGTTTAAAACTAATACAGTGAAAGCCACTTTATATTCTAAATTGTTCCCTGACATCATCTTTATTACATTTATGTGTGTGCATGTACTGTGTGTGTGTGCTTTCATTCAAGGCAAGGCAAGAGACCGTTAAATCTCAATTACAGCAGAAAATAAAGCTGCAAGAGGAGAAAATGAGTGAAATCAGAGAGTGGACAGAGAGAGCCTGTGAGGTGAACAGCAGCGTTTTGTTCTTTTTCACTATGGATTTGCAGTTTGATTAAATCAACCATTAGCAAAGCTGTAACACGCAGTTATTGCTGCCACTTAAGGAAAAGGGACTTGAAATGTGTTGTAACTTTAACTTTAACTTGTAGAAAAAATTAATGAACAAACTTGCACTTGCCAACCCCTACTGTAGTTGATTGTAATAAACCATGTTATTACTATGTTATGGACATCATTACAATTGGTTGAAAACTTAAAAAGAAAATATATATAATAACTTTGTCATAGAAATACTGAATAGTGTGAAACCACCTGGAAAATACTTTTTGTGAAATGGCTCAAATATCAACTTTCCACCTCTATTTGACAGAGTGTCCAAGATTCAGTACGTACCAACACCCCAATAAATTCTACAGCAGCAGAGACCACAACAAAAGAGGATCCCAAATCATGTATGGAGTAGTATTATTTCATTCCACACAGGTATTTACTAAATAATCATGAAAATTAGGCAATAACTGTCTTTTCTATCTACAGCGTATGAAACTGCACCGCCTGTTTTTTCCACTGGCATGAAGGTACGTGTACAGCAGACTCCTGACTTAGTAGAATGTCTAGTGGTGTAAAAAGCAATTTCACCACAACTAAAGTTAAGATGTTAATATGTTAAATATGTTAAATATAAATATGTTAAATATAAATATGTTAAATATGTTTAATATGTTAAAATGTTATCATGTGGGTGAGGATTGCCTTGCACTGAATGTTTCAGGTGAAGAGTTTTGTCAGGGAGCACCCAACAACCACATACCCAGTAACAGTAGACCAACCTAAGAGAAAACACAGTGAAGATCAAACATTATCACAGGTACTGAATGCGTCAGTGTTTAAGACCCTATATTGCTATTTTAATTTGTTTATGTTTTCTGGTAAAAGGATGGGAAAGCTTGCTAGAGACAGTTTAGTATCTTATGTGAACTCAGTTCATTTACAACAGCTTTTTAAGTATTTTTAAATTTTCTGTAATGTTAATCATTGTTTTTATTATATGTACAGTCCTTTGAGGCATGCTTTGTAATATTGGGCGACAGTAAACCTGACTTGACTTAAATGGAACTTACATCTGATTCTGTTCTGTCTTTCAGGTGAATAAATCAGTCAGGGAATGTCCAAAAATTGCTCCGCGGGTATCACTAGTCCAACCTAAGGAGAAAGACATGAAGGATCAAACATTATCACAGGTAACGAGCTAGTTTTGGATATTTTTCAAGGAATTTAGACACCTTTTTACGTAGTTTATTCTTATTTTTGCCTTGTTCTTTTCTTTATTTAACATTTTGCTGTGTGTGATTGGCACCACTGCTTTAATAGGTAAATTAATTCTATCAGTATTGTATTATTACTAAGTGCTTGACTCTTCTTGAATCTTTTAGGGGATGAGTTCAGTCATGGAGCACCCAACGACTACACACCCAGCAACCAACCCAGCAACAGTAGTGCAACCTAAGGAAAGACACCAGAAGAATCAAACATTATCACAGGTATTAAACTCTTCCGTGTTTTAGACCAAATATTGCAATTATTTTTTGTTTATGTTTTGAGGTGCAGGATAGGAAAGTTTGCTAGAGTCAGTTTAGTACCTGTGAAGTAAGTTCTGTTAACTGCTTATGAGTATTTTTAGACCTTTTTGTGACAGTTACATTAGTCACTTTTACCATCATTGTCAGCATTTTATAGGCTTTACCCAACATCATTGCTATCTGTGTTTTGAGGGTTGAGCAGGTATGTATCTTTACTTATGTCGGCACACCAGTACAGAAGCAGAGCAACTGTGGCTCACATTTTAGGATGCTTATGTACGTGTTTTAGACCTGTTTGAGCAATTTGAGCTGCTCAATCACAAGCACCAAAATACAAAACCAAATGATTGTAAAAATTTAATTTATTTACAAATGATTAAATTACACTAAAATTAACTAAGAAAAGCAGAGACTGATTTAATTATTTACACGTTAATTGAGCTGCACAATTTCCCCACTGGTGTTCAGGTAAAGCAGATTCATGAATAGTTCTCTGACTTCGACAAATTATGTAAAGTTAAATCTAACATGTTTCAGGTGACTGGATTGGTCGGCGATCATCTGACACCAACATACACTGTAGCAGTTGTCCAACCAAACAAGGAAGACAGGAATGATCAAAGATTATCACAGGTATTTAACTATTTGTATATGTAATCTGGTTATGCAGCTATTTCCTGTATTGTTTCATGTCCGATTGTGCTATGTAATCGGTATGACATCTTTCAGATGAATAGAGCTAGCAGGGAGCATCCAACAAATCCACCTTTGACAACAGTTGTCCAGCCTAAGGACAATGACAGAGAGGATCCAACATTGTCACAAGTATTACACTGTTATAATCCAACCATTTACTGTTTAAGATCCTGTATGACAATTTTCAGTTGCCCAGTAGGGGCTTTCTGTGATTAAAACATTTAGGTTGTCCTGACTTAGACCCCAAATATAGCATATAGGTGCTAATGAGCAGCTTAGATCTAGCTGTGACAGACACATTGGCCACTTTTTGCCTCAGTCTTACAGTGGACAGCTCTTTACCCTTGCTGGTATCAACTAATGATTCTTTTCTATTTATCAATTAGTTGTTTTGTCCACAACCCATAGAAATAACAGACACGTTTTAGTCATAAAAATGCTACAGAGTGTGAATCCATCTCGACAAGACTTTATCAGATATACTTTGTAATTTGTGAAAGTATCAACGTTCCACCTTCTTCTGACAGAGTGTCCCAGATTCAACAAGTGCCAACACCCAGACAAATTCTACAGCAGCAGAAACCACAACAAAGGAGGATCCCAAATCATGTATGTAGCAGTATGATTTTATTTAACACAGGAAATGGCTTTAAAATGTATGAAAATGAAGCAATTAGCTGTCTCCTTTATCTACAGCGTGTGAAACTGAACAGCCTGATTTCTCCACTGGCATGAAGGTATCTGTATGCTGTACTTTTCATTTCATAGTTGGTTTCTTTGAAGTAAAGGTTATTATTATCATTTTGGTTTGGCTTGCCTTGCACTGAAGATTTGACTTGTTACAGGTGAAGGATCTGGCCCAGATGTTTTCAGCTACCACAACCCAGGACACAGCAGTCCAACGAAAGGGAGATCGAAGAGAGGAACGAAACCTATCACAGGTAGTAGACCCTCTATAAATATTAGGTTATTCTAATATTTTCCTGTATCATTATGTGTGACCTTGTGTCTGGGCTCAACAGTTTGTATCGTATTACTATTATTTGTTGGATACCTGAGCGCTTAAAATCTTTCAGGTGAAGCATTTAACCCAGAAGACTGCAGATACCACAGGCAAGAACATGACAGTTCAACCAAAGGAGAATGACAGGGAGGTTAAAGAAATATCACAGGTACAGTACTAGTGTCCCCATTATATTGTACCCATAGCAATGTCCATCGGGAAATCCATCACTTTCGTCCTGACTGAGATATCTCAGAAACGATTTATTGCCAGGGACATTCATGGTCCCTAGAGGATGAATACTGCTGACATTTACATTTTCTGTAATGTTGATCATTGTGTTTATTATATGTACAGCCCTATGAGGCATGCTTTGTGATATTGGGCTATAGTAAACCTGACTTGACTTAAATGGAACTTACATCTGATTCTGTTCTGTCTTTCAGGAGAATAGATCGGTCAAGGAGCGTCCAATAATTCCTCCCCGGGTACCAGCAGTCCAATCTAAGGAGAAAAACATTAATTATATCAGTATTGTATTTTTACAGAGTGATTGAATCTTCTTGAATCTTTTAGCCGCAGAGTTTGGTCAGGGAGCACCCAACGACAACAGACCCGGCAACAGTAGTCCGACCTATGGAAAGGCACCAGAAGAATCAAACATTATCACAGGTATTAAACTCTTCAGTGTTTTAGACCCTGTAGTATCATATCACTATTATTTGTTAGATACCTGAGTGCTTAAAATCTTTCAGGTGAAGCATTTAGCCCAGACGACTGCAGCTACCACAGACCAGGCCATGACAGTCCAACCAAAAGAGAAAGACAGGGAGGTCCAAAACATATCACAGGTACAGTACTAGTGTCCTCATTATAATGTACCCATAGCAATGTCCACTGGGGGTCCACCACTTTAATTGTATCATTGCCAGGGACATTCATGGTCCCTAGATGATGAATACTACTGAAGTTTATCGTTTTAATAACTTCTCAAGCTGAACAAAACATCTGATAACATTGGACCCTGGGAAATTGTCAGGGACATTTTTCACTGTTCTATGACCTCTTCAACACAACAATAAATGTATTAATATAGAAGATTATCAGAAGATTAAGAGCTCAAAAGAAGTTTGAGAAGAGTTGAAGCCCTAGAAGACATAAAAAAGCTCTATATGATACATCCCAAGAAAATCATGTGTCTTGTAACACAAATGTCTTTGCAGTTGAAATAAAAAACACACACATTTTAGCGAAGCAGGAATCATTAAAAACCTTCCACCTTTCTGTGACAGAATGTGCCAGATTCAACCATTGCCACCACCCAAGTTAATCCTGCATCAGCAGAAGCCACAACCGAGGAGGATCCTAAATTATGTATTATTATTATTATTATTATTATTGGATAATACTAGATGATCAGGAAAATTAAGGAAATGACCATCTACTTTTTCAACAGCATGTGAAACTGCACCGCCCCCAGATTTCTCCACTGGTTTGAAGGTACGGGTGATTCTTAAACGTATTGAGATGTCAATTACAACTACTGAAAGGACGAGTATGGAGAATTTAGTGGCATTCAGAACTGAGAAATTATCACACCTCTAGCCCTGTCTAGAGCCAGTGTTTGGTTTGTTTGGGCTACTGTAGAAACATAGTGGTTAAACATGGCGGACTCTGTGAAAGAGGATTTACTCCTTTTTTAGATATAAAAGGCTCATTGTAAGGTAACAAAAACTACTATTCTTATTTTTAGAATATTACACACCAATGAAAACACGCTCATGAATATTGTATTCAATTTCTGCCAAAAGATCCTCCTAATTTTACATGCTGGACCTTTAAAACACATTCAGCCTGATACACCATTGTTATACTTTGTTCTATTTTAGCCTTTTTGCAGATGTTTCATGCAGACTTTGGTTTAATGTTTGTTTGGTTAAACCTTTCAGAAAATCAGGAAAGGTTATTGTGTTTTTGTTACTTATTTGGGTCCAGCTTGCATTAACTGTAAAGACAAATTACAGGTGAAGGAATTGGCCCAGATGTTTTCAACCCAGGAAACAGCAGTCCAACCAAAAAGGAAACACAGAGAGGAACAAAAACTATCACAGGTAGTAGACCCTCTGGAAATTTGGCCTAGACAACTTAACTCTGCCATAAGAATGCTGAGACGTTAGTAGGATGTGGTTGCATGGGTGTTTGAGATAATTACTTGGTGGTTGCCAGAATGTATTCATTAAATTGTTTGATACTTGAGTACTTACTGTCTTTTAGGCAAAGTTCATTGCCAAGAAACTTTCAGCTACCACAGCCCAGCAAAAGGAGAAAGACAAGGAAAATCAAAACATATCACAGGTATAGCACCAGTGCCCTCTGTTTGTCAGTCAGTCCACCACTTTGGTCCAGACTGAAATAGCTCAACAACTATTTAAAGCAATTTTGCAAATAGTTTTTTAGCAAATGCTTCAAATATTATAAATCTTCCACCTCTCTGTGACAGAACGTGCCAGATTCAACAAGTGGCATCACCCAAATGAATCCTGCAACAGCACAAGCAACCACTGTGCAGGATCCTACATCATGTATGTATTATGGTTTATTAATTCATAATCAGGAAAATTAAGGAAATTTTGTTGACAGTCACTTCTTCTTCAACAGCGTGTGAAACTGCACAGCCCCCAGATTTCTCCACTGGTCTGAAGGTATGGCTGAGTTTTTAAACTTGTTGAGATGTCAATGATAACTTCTTCAAACACAATCAGCCTGGTGCATTATTGTTATACTTTGTTCTATTACAACCCTTTTGCAGATGTTCCACGCACATGTTGGTTTAATGTTTCTTCACAGCACTTTTCGGAACAGTCAGCAAAGCTTATTATGTTTTTGTTAGTTATTTGTGTCCAGCTTGTGTTGAGTGTTAGAAATGTTTCAGGTGAAAGACTTGGCCCGGATGTTTTCATCAACCACAGCACAGGAAACAGCAGTCCAACCAAAGAGGAACCAGAGAGTGGAACGGAGACTATCACAGGTAGTAGACACTGTATTATTTTCATGTCACTGAGGTACCAGAAATATTAAAAAAATAATAATTCACTAACACATAATTCACAAACAAAGGCAATCACATGCAGTTCAACTCAATACTAAGGTTGCTTGCGAAAAAAAAACATTCAATGTAAGTGGTAGCTAATGTGTTGCTATATGATTGTTAAGACATTGCCAGGTGGTTGCTAAGATGCTAGATGGGTGTTATGTGTTAATGGATATACTCATGAATTAGTTGGACATTACTCTTTCTCTTTCAGGTGAAGCTTATAGCCAGGAAGCTTTCAGCTGCCACAGCCCAGGAAAGAGCTGTCCACCCAAGACAGACAGACAAGGTACAGCTCCAGCTACTGCTAGTGGTTTTACTCTAAGGACTGTTGGTCAGTCAGTCCACCACTTTGGTCCAAACTGAAATATCACAACAACTATGTGATGACATTTTCTGCACACATTCATGGTCCCCAGATAATGAGTCCCAATGACTTTAAGTCCCCCCCCCCCTGGCTTTTCCACTTATCATGTGAAATATCTCAACATCTGATAGCTGGATTGACACAGTTCTGTATAGATATTAATGGTTCCCATACGACGAAGCCATTAAACTTTGGTGATCAAAGACAGAGCTAAAAGAGGACTGTTTGCTAACAAACTCCCCTTAAAAAGGAGTTCACAACTTGTGGCAGTTGAAAATTAACAGTAACAACTGCTGAAATGTAAGTTTAGAAAGAGCTAGATTAGATGGTAACAGTTCATATCATTATTTTAGTTTAGATAGATAAGTCACCAGTGATATATGAAGTAACATTTGGTCAGAACTCATTGTTTTGGGTTTGATTGGTGATCCAGGGTTTTTTTTACCCTTGTGTACTGGGCAAATTTACCCTGTATTGCGTTTCTGCTACGTTTGTTTTAGTGTACAATGTGGTAATGTGTGTAAATACAGGATATAAAAGTACATGTAATCCATTATGAAGTATATGTAACTGAATGTGGGCAAAATGAAAGGCTGTGAAATACTTAAAGAATAAGCAGATGTGACTCATGTCTCCTGATATCAGCACAGTTTTCTAAGTGTTGTATTGTTGTTTTATCTTAACTCTAGTGGATGTAAAGCTGGACCCAACCACTGCACACAGAGTGACGGAGTAACAGAGAACCAGGAAGCTCCGAGGAGGAGAAGATTGACCTTAGGGACATCATACTAAGACGTTGTTGTCAGCAACAAGACAGGATGGGACCTGGCTGTAGCAAGAGATGATGCGAACCGCAGGGGAGAATTCTCGCTGAAGAAAAAACATAATCTGCTTGCATGTTGTTTTCTTTCTTTCTTTTTAAATCAATATCAAGTTAATCTTTAAAGTATGTACATTTTAAGAGAGGAAAGAGCATGGTATTCCTTTTACCAATAAAAAGCTAAATGTGCAGAAATAAAACATACCGTTGCTCGATACCTTTAAGTTTTGCTGGCTTTACTTGCTGTGATGCTTTCTGTACATTTCCGACTTATTATTACTCATAGTGTGATCCCTGTCCTCTCTTCCCTCGTTTGCTTGTCATATAGATTATAGTGATGTGTTGTTCGTGAATGGCACTTTTGTATGTTGCACCGGTCGTCAATATATCATGAGTTAGGCATGGCATGATATGTCACAATTATCTTGGCAATATTATCACCATAATCACGTAAATATACTTCATACTTCTAACATCCATCCGATTTAACCTGTTATTGTGGGGGATGCAAGGGGCAAGCCGATCCTTCAGCCATGGAGACAGGGTTTGGATTTTGGAATGACTGGAACAATGCAGGCTACCCCTTGTCCCCTTGTTCAAAATAAATCTGTATGCTGGTAAGCTAGACAGCTTTTTCATTATACAGATTCACAATAAATAATATATGGGTTTCTGTAAATTATAGAGTTTAGCATAATAACATTTAAATTTGAACTTACACTCATTTACTGTTAATTTACTTTTGAACATTTTACATGTTAAATGTGTTAAATAAAAAAAATAATAATTGAGATCCTGATCCTGCAGCTCTCTATTTGGTATGCTGTGTACGTCATAGCTGGCTATGCAGGGCAGCAGGGAAAGAGCCTGAACACAGATAGAGTAGAGGCAAGGGAACAACAACAAGGCACTAGGATGAACTGGCAGAGTATAAGGGTTGATGTGGGCGAGTGGAAACAGCACATCTAGTTGTCCATATACAACAAAACTAATAAAACAAGTGTTTGCAGACCTCCTAATAAGGATGAAGTCTAGATAAAGCTCAGTGCCTCCCATAGAACATTCTGAAGCACTTTATTAGCCTAAAACTTCCTTATACTTGTTGGATGTTATATATACTTTGGCACTGATTGCACTGTATTGATCAATATACTGTTTTGTAATATTTGTCATGTAAAACTTTAATGAGGGTTATAAAAAAAAAAAAAAAAACAGGATCTGGTTGGCAGGTAAGGTCATGTGACTGGGACTCCAGGGAAAGGGGTTATTGCAGGACATGTAGGAGTGGCTGGATGTGGGAGTGAGACGTCTGGGACAGGAATATAAATCAGAGGACATCTGGTGGACAGAAATAGAATGGCAGTTGTATTAATTAACAGTTTTTTCAATTGTATACCTATAATATAGACAACCATACAATGTAAAATCACCTGAGTGTTATGCTATTATTACAGCCATCCCATAATAAATGATTTTGTATTGCACTTTTCACAGAGCAATATTATTATTATTATTTTGAGATTATTGCATAAACCATTTTACAGTATGGTTTTGGTAATATTACAGGTGTATTAATGAAAAGTCATAAAAGAATGGCTACTTTGACACACACACACACA